TTAAATATTATTAATTGCGAAAGTATATATATATATATATATATATACATATTTCTCATTCATTACTGTATCGACCAACTGTAAAGTTTGGTGGAGGAGGATTGATGGTATGGGCCTGTTTCTCCTGGTACGGGGCTACGGGGCTGGCCCACTGGTGAAGGTTGATGGTAAGATGAATACCGATGGATACTGTGATATTCTCAACAATCATGTCCTTCCTACCTTGTGGGCAACGTACGGTATGGATGATTGCTTGTATCAAGACGACAACGCAAGATCCCATGTTGCAAGGAGGACTCTTGATTGGTATGCATGGAGTGGCCGGTGCAGAGCCCTGATCTTAACCCAATTGAACATCTCTGGGACGAATTGGACCGTCGGTTGAGGGCCTGCACCCCACTCCCCAAAAGCAAGCATGAACTATGTAACTTCGTGTTTAATATTTGGAAGGAAATTCCTCTTGCCACTGTGGCTAATTTAGTGGAAAGCATACCCAGAAGGGTTGCAGCTGTGATCGCAGCCAAAGGAGGCCCTACCTCCTATTAATTTTAATAAATATGGGTTTATGTCGTTATAGTGTCGTGTCCTGTCACTTTCTTCCAAATAGTGTGTATATATATCTATACACTTTCAATTTTTTATTTTTATTTTTTTATTTCCAATGGCAAGTTACAAGACACCTGAAATCACAATCAAAAACATAACAAGAACAATGTGACATCAGTAAATCTATAAACTTAGGGCGGCTCTCGCCACCCAATAACGCTCCCAAACTGAAATATGGGGAGGAGCATGGCAGATGAGAAGATGACAAAAGTCCATTTCCTGAGTACATAGAGAGTCCGATGTGACATTGATGGAATGAAGATGTTTACGGAGGCAATCATGTCCAGTAACAAAACGAAAAATTGCAACAGATTTCTTTCTGGGTCAATCGGGAATTTTACGAATCGGTTCTATCTACCTATCTATATATCTGTATCTATATCTCTCTCTATATATTATTTAAAGCAAAACAAAAGCGAGGAAGGATTCTCGAAAGAAAAGCAATTAAAATTTCGAACAAGATAAGATTTCAGAAAAGAAAAAAAAAACTTGTGTCAAGCTTACAAGTGAAAAGTAACTCTTTCAGTTCTACGAATTCTATCTCTTTCGTTACATTTCTGCGAACAGGAGGTCCCGCT